CACACATATATACATACATACATATATACATACATACATACATGCATATACATACATACATACATGCATGCATGCATACATACATACATACATATATATATACATATATATATACATACATACATACATACATACATACATACATACATTCACACACACATACATACACACATACATACATACATACATACATGTATACATACATACATACATACATACATACAAACATACATACGACATACATACATACATACATATATACGTACATCGACCTGGCACAAAACTTTGTTCAGCAATACACTTATGAAACAAAAGCCCACAAGATATACATTTGCGAGTTTGATCCAGCACATCCACACTCGCTACGCATAGACACATATGACACCGAAAGTCACGGACACATGACATATGTCACTTGACATCTGCATATGACATCTGACGCCGAACGACTCTGTCACAGGACATTCAAAACTTGACATTTACTGATTTCTCACCTACGACTCTGGAGGCATATATACTGTCTGCGGCAAAGTGGTTGGTCAAACTATATAGCATGACCTTGCTCATCGCCGGAATCAGCTGAGTATAGCGTATCCGTGTGGGATCGTGTGTGTGGTGGGGGGGGGAGGTATACCGGGACACAAGTAAAACGTTAGAACGATCAGCAACGCATTAGGTGTTATTGTGCTATAATTCTTGTCTATTTATAGTCTATGCGTTTGGTGATAGAAACAGAGTACTGTCCAAGGGGTGTCGTTGCCTGTAATTGGTGTCATGCACCCTATCTGATCCCATCCGTGGTGCCTAATATAGTACACCACCCCAAAGGATTCCCATTCACTGTAGTCATCTAGGGCAGACCCAGACTAATATCTATTCAATCCGTTTACAACTATATACCTATTTGTGGGTGTATTCGATGCCAGGCTAATACTCTGGCTTAGTTGTTGTTGATCCGCTTACCTGAGAAGAGGTGACCATGACGTTGACCGAGTTTTTCCTGCAGAGGAAGAAGGCGATATGCAATTAGTACCGTACAGGACTTCGGCTCGATGTATTCACGAGCAATATATACACAACCCGGACAGCATATATGTATGTGTGTGTGTATGTGTATGTGTTTGTGTTTGTGTATGTGTATGTGTTTGTGTTTGTGTATGTGTATGTGTATGTGTATAAGTATAAGTATGTGTATATATTTGTGAATATAAATAACATACACAGATCGATTGGATACTCATGTATATGCCGATTACCCGGGTGCTTAATACTGAGATGTAGCGAATCCTGCATTCTATTTATCTTGGATTTTTTGACGGGCGATACTTCGGGGTACGGACAGTGTGTACACATACACACATACATACATACATTATATATATATATATATATAAATGTGTGTGTGTGTTATGGGACATACCTTGCGGTGGTGGTGCTCAGTATCAGATCTGCCAGTGTCATCCAATTGCCACTAAGTTGATCAATTAGTTCATAAGTTTGTCTCCAGTCACGCATAGCCCCCACCGGTAGTAGCTCTATAGATATCCATACATGTGTATGTGTGAATTAGTGATTGTTTCCTTAGCAATATTTTATTGTATCAATCTGCATTAACTACCCGGTACACTCTCACAGATCAGTGCTCCCTTGGCTGATATAGTACCCGTATATGTACAGCTGAAGATATATACAATAATATATCGGCAACTATCCTTCCTCATACACAACACACTTAAGAACACCAGCTACTAACTGTGTACTATCAATATCAACGACGCACTATTTGCACCTACCGCGCAAATGAGTCTAGACATATACATCTTTCAATAACTATACATATATGATCGCGTTTCACACGCGTAGATTAATAGAAAATATCTGCATATTTAACCAGCCATGTACGAATAATTGTATAGTAAAAGGAACGTATTCGATTATCTACAATCCACCCTTATACCTCGCATTCTCTGTAGCACTTGTTTCGAGTCCCCACTCATATGCAGAGCCCGCACTGAATTGTACAGCTCCTTGACATGCCGCAACCGATAGGCCAGATTACGTTCAACGTCTTCTGGATCCTGGATATAATATGTGTATAAGATGTCAGTGTACATATATATCTATCAGAGTGAACTGTCAAGTTTCGATCGCAGTGCTGGCACATTATCGACAGTTGATATATATATATATATGTGTGTGTGTGTGTATGTATATATGTATATATACATATATATATATGTATATATGCTCGCAACTCTCTGAGGCATACCGGGTTGTTGTCGAAATTCGTCATAGATTTGGCCAGTACATCCGTGCTGAAGTCATGAGTTCTTTATCCAAAAGAAAGTAAGTGGTAAAATATCAGAGACGAGGTTCGAAATGAATAGCGAGTGACATTTTTAACAAAACGAAACAAATAATAAATAGCCAAGTTTCTGATGAACATATAAGGTACCTGCGTGCTCGCCTGTGAGTGCTAACGACAACGGCTATGCATAACTATCTA